GCAGTGTTCTCAAATACCAGGATGGTAATAGGAGCGGCAATAGACTATAAATCTGAAGTCTTTCTTTGCCCAGGCAGATTCTACAGCCCAATACAAAAAATGCAGCTACAAGTGGAGATCTCTCCAGCTATCCACCCACCCACCCTAAAAGAGTGGGATGAAAATTAATTTCATACAAAAGATGAAAGAAATTATTTTTAGTAAACAAGGCAGAATCTTTAGCTTCTATAACATATGGATCATCTGGACACACTTCAAAAATACACATCTGATGACAACTGTTCTCTCATGTTCCAGTAGACGGATTTCCCATTCCTTCTTCTTGTGAGACAGGAAGTAAATGAAAATCTTCTCGATAAGTCATAGACAGCAAAAAAAAATGTTATTCATCATAGGGTTTAATCATAACCTATTATATCTAAAACAAAAAAGAACAATTAAAGGTTTTGTCTACAATATGCTTCAACAGTTCATACATCTCTTTCATTTACCCTTTGCGGACATCTAAAAGTGTACATCTAAAAGTTGGATGCATCACAAATTATTGTTACCAACCGTTTTGTAGTGTACTCTATCTACAATGCCTTATCTCAATAACCAGAGGTGCTGGCAGGAAATATCAAGTCACGTGTGTAAAACAAAGCTGAAAAAACCTAACTACATTTACAGTGCAATATTTTTAGTTTTAATGAAACGGTTTAACAATATCAATATGGGATGCTGACTATTTACTCAGACTTTGTATAAATAGAAAGACAAAACTTGACATTTACAAAATTTAGGATATAGGCTTGTATAATCCACACATAGATGAAATGTAATTGAAAAGGAAAAAAATATGTATTCATTTATTACATCTTAAATGAAGACTACGCTTCCTTGTAATTCCATGCTAGGGTATCTCTGAAACTTTTGGTAGTCTGAATCAGTAATTACTTAAAGAAGCGACCTCAAACCTCTGCTCCCATCATCTCCATGGCAACATCCAATTCAGATATGTAAATGAGTGGTTGTAAATATTTGAAACAAAAAAAGGGCCAGGTGTAGATATAGAAATAAAATACTCAGAGACAAATCTGGAAATTCTTAGTGCTTCCATTATTTGAAATTTTTAAGTTTCATCTTAATTGAAGAACTACTTGTTAGCAACTCAGAAAACATTTTTCTTCTGTCACATATGGCCATGCAGCTGCATAACTAGACTAAATATAATTTAATCCCAAAAAACACATACAAAAAAATCTGAAAAGTTATAAACTTGAAACTAAAGTGTCTCTTCTTCACATGCTTAAGATGACTATAATGGACCATTCACACTGGTTTCAGCCCATATTATTATTATTATACAGTATTTATAAAGCGCCAATAGTTCGCTCAGCGCTGTACATTACAAAGGGGGACAGAACATGTGACAGAACAATACCAATACAATGCATAACATGAGGGGATTGAGGGCCCTGCTCTTTGGAGCTTACAATCTAGGAGGGATATTGCTGCTTCCCGCACACTAGAGTGGTTTAGTGTGCACATACCAGCGTTTTGAGATGCAAGCCATGCATCAGGGGCGGTGTGATGTGTGTTTTGTTGCATCACAAAGCTCCCTTTTTTTTTTTTTTTTACTAATCTTTATGAGTTTTTCATGCATGTATTTTCACTGTATGTTGTATGCATGTGTATTTATGTATGAGTATGTATATTGTATGCATGTGTATGTATATGTGGTGTGTATGTATATTGTATGCATGTATATGTATGTATGTTGTATGCAGGGGTGGACTGACAACTCATGGGGCCCCCGGGCAATAGGGGATCATGGGGCCCCTGTGTCCTTGCCCAAACTCAAAAAAGCCTATGAAAAAGGTACCAGGGGCATCTCATGGGGCCCCCTACTGACCCCGGGCCCTCGGGCAGTGCCCAAGTTTCCAAATGGTCAGTCTGCCCCTGGTTGTATGTGTATGCAGTGTGTCTTTACCCCTTTCATGACCAGGCCATTTTTTGCTTTTCAACACTGCTCTATTTTAACTGCCTATTGCGGGGTCATGCAATATTGTACCCAAATGAAATGTATATAATTTGTTACACACAAATAGAGCTTTCTTTTAGTGGTATTTGATCACCACTGAGTTTTTTATTTTTTATTATATTAATGAAAAAAGACCGAAAAGACATATCCAATGGAAAAACTTAAAAATCGAATTTCTTAATAAATTTAGGCCAAAATGTATTCTGCTACATGTCTTTGGAAAACAAAATCCCAATAATGGTATATTAATTGGTTTGCGTGGAAGTTATAGTGTATACAAACTATGGGATATATACTGGCATTTTTATTTATTTATATTTTTTTATATAGTATATTACTATTACTATTGTATAGTAATGGTGGCGATTAGCAGCTTATAGCAGGTAATCTGATACTAGCTAATGCTGGCTGGGGGGGAGTTTACTAACTGATATCAATCGTGACACTAATACAGTGATCAGTGCTAATACTATAAACTGTCACTGTACTATGACACTGGCTGGGAAGGGGTTAACATCTAGGGGTGATCAAGGGGTTAGCTGTATGCCTAACACGTGTAATGTGTGTGATACGTGCTGCTTTTACAAAGAGAGCTTGTTTTTTTTCCCCTGCTTTGCAGAGGAAAAAGAGCAGCAGGGTCACTTCTCTGTGTACAGTGCTGTGTTGTTTATCAACACTGGGTACTGTTCTGTGATTTGGTGAGCCAATCAGCAGGTCCCAGCCATCAATCATTGCCAAATTACAGCACAGCATTCGTGCCCCCTACCTGGAAGCGTGGGTCACATACCTAGCACAGAATGGCAGAACCGCCAAGAAACAGTGCAGGGGTGCTATAGCTAGAAAGTCCATACAATCATCTGATTTTTATAAATTCCCCATAACAAACTAATGGCATTCATAACAACTTTGGGAGGAACTACAATGTCTTGCAAATCATAAATTTGAAGAGTGATGATGTGCTATACAAATGCAATTCATAATTATATTGTTTTTTTCTACAGATTATTATGAGGGTAAACAATCTAGGTTGTCCATAGACTGCAGAGTGAATCTGATAAGCAGAGCTGGGGACCCTTGCCTACACAACTGCATGTTCCAAGATTAGGTGCTTTGAAAATACCAGGTTACTCATGTTTTGTGTGTTTTCTCAAGATTCCCTAGTGTCCTCCGTAGATTGTAAGCTCCTTTAGAGGAGAGTGATGAGTGATGTGAATGGTCTATGTCCTCAAAACACTGCATACATTTTGCAAAGTAGAATGGACTAGTCTGTTCAAGCATTGTCATGATAAAAAACAGAAACACTTAGCGGGTAGATTAAGCTTGGGTGAAAAGTACTTGTATGTGGTTTTTTTTTACCATTTTACAGAATAGATGGATGTGTTTATGTTAGTTCCAGCCCCAGCTGATTGCATAAATAAGCAGTCAGTAACCATATATATTTTGACCTGCCCCCCCCCCACCTAAGGTACATCCTTGTACAACCTGGACCTAGACAGACATTCAGAGTTCTTCATTCCAACTGTATCTCATTTTAATGCAAAGATGCCGTCCCTTCACTTTTACTGCACCCTAACTATACCCATGGTCATAGCCAATGACCAAGCATGCCCACAAGTCACACCAACACATGGAAAGCCAATAATTTGTAGATCATATCAGTTTTACATCTCGGGGGGCTTATTCAATTTCTTTACCATCTTATCTGATTCTGCAAAAGCTGTCTCATCTAACATATCCTAATGTTGGCGCTTAAAGTATAATTAAAGGCAAAAGGTTTTATTTTTGTTTTGATAGAGTGAAGAGGGATTAGAGAATCTATCAGATTTTATTGCTGTCTGTGCCACCATTAGGGAGATTTGTTCTCTTTACCGTTATCATCGAAAGTGAAAGTAAAACATAATCCTTAATTTTGGGTTAACACCAGAACACATATAGAGGGAAAATCTTTCAATGGGTACATAGTTCCGGTGACCCTGGTGCCAGAGATGAAATTTCCTCTTGTTCCAGTTTTGGCTATCTCCACAATGGAACATACACGACAATATAACTGTCCCTTACGCTATCCAATAGATTCATTCTTATGGGTAATATTTGATTATCCTTTCATATGAATCCTATTTTTATACCAAACAGTCCCAGCTTAGCAATAAAAGCTGCTGCCTATCTGTTACTTGTGGTTTCGCAAAGCTTTTCTGGTTGTACTTGTTATGGGGTTATAGAAGTTGTAGTCTTGTAGTTTCACAATGTGCTCTGTTGTTACCTGATTACTGCCCATGACTGAGTGATATAGGCATCAGTCGGACTCACCTGCTGATTAATATAATCAGCTCCACAGCTAATCCCTGCGCAGCCTGGCTATCTGTGTCTCAGTCATGCTGCAGGCAGCCAATCAAAGCAATATCCTGTCCAGGCCAATTTTCAGCTTTCAGCGCTATTACAATTTGAATGACAATTGTGCGGTCATGCAACACTGTACCCATATGAAATTTTTAGCATTTTTTTGAGACAGATAAAACTTTATTTTAGTGGTATTTATTCACCACTGGGATTTTTATTTTTTTTGCTATATAAATGCAAATGTTCAAAAAGTTTGAAAAAAAGTGTTTTTCTTATAACATTTTGCAAATAAATAATATTTCATCATAAATCTTGGCCAAACTTTATTCAGTTATCTTTTTAGTAAAAAAAAATTACCCAAATTAATTTATATTTAAAAATTATAATTTAAAAAAAAAAATTTTTACATTTTTATTTTAATTTTTTATTTTATTATGTTTTTTTTTTTTTTTACATACTGTCACCCTAGCAGGGTGACACTGTACTACTTGTGGGGGGTGATGGAAGATTTTTTTTTACACTGATTGCTTTTACACCCATAAAGGCTGTAAAAGCAATCATTTCTAATAATAATAATAATAATAATAATAATAATAATAATCTCCTTCTCTCTGGCTGCATTCTTGCAGCTATTGAGAAATACTCTGTGAGCTGTGATTGGTCACAGCTTGTCACATGGTACAAGGCTGTTGTGAATAGCCTTGTACCATGTGACCTCTGTGATCATTCACAGATTTCACATGTAGTAAGCAATGATGTCAGAAGTGACATCTTGCTTACTACTCTGCATGTGATCACTGATTGGCAAATCAGTGATCACATGATCAGGACCTCACACAGAGGTCCTATACAGCGGGCACTGGATTGCGGTGCTGCACGCTCCCAGGGAGCGCGCACAAGCGGGGTGGGGAGGCCATTTAAAAACGGCCACCTGCCCCTGCACTGCTACCGTCCAGCCATTTATATACAACGCCCAGATGGGAGATAATTAAATAGGCCACTGGGTGCTAAGGGCACACACTAATTGGTGTGTGCATGTACACATGTGCACATAAGCATGACGAACTGGAATACTACATGTAACATTGTCTCTTTGCTTAGAAGTATACTCATGTGTGCAGTGCGCACATTCATGAATATGAGCATAAGGCCACACTGTTTTTCTAATGCTGTGAAACTGCACCATCCATGCAGTAAAACCCATATCCACCATCAAGAGGTTAATACCAGCTTGTTCTTAGACTCTGCACCCTGCGGCATTACCTGCTCTCACCTGAAATCATCAGCCTACTTATGCAAGTCCTGACCCTGGCCTGATCTGCCCCTGACGCCTTTCATTACTGCAAACCAGTGGTCAGCCTACACTTTTTGGGTAAGCCTATCATCTTTCCTTGGAGTATCTCTTACAGTATAATTACCGCAGCTGCCTCCTTGACATAAACTTACTCATGTTGGGTCCATCTTAAAAATATAAAAACCCCAAATGATATACATTATTCCTGTGATGAAGGAAGGTTCCACTCAAAGTGGGCCTTTTATATAAATGCTTAATCAGGTCATGAAATATGTTCCACAGTGGAATGCTGTACTGATTTGGTCAGTGGTCTGGCAGGGTGGGCTCCTTATTATGGCTTTATTTCAAAGGTGCATAACTAACACAATCTGAAGTTTGCTACTAATTTCAAATAAGGCATCACAATGACGTTAAGTGGTTAATTTCCAGACAAAGGGTAAAGTCCATGCTTTCCATGATTTCTGTGTCATTTTATACACTCTGTGTCAAGTGCACCTCAGTACTCTCATATCCAAGAAAACTGAACCCATTACTATAGACCGCGCTATAATATTTACTATTGAATCCAATTTTTGTAAGCTATATTAGTGAATCAAATGACTAAACTGACTAGCTGATTCCCCCAGAATTGGTCACTATTACAGAATCTTGCCCTTAACATGATAATATCATGAAGGTACTGATTCTCCTTCACTGTCCAGTCACAGAGGCTGTAGCCTGTACTACTCATCTGCACTGTGATCTGTAAAGAGGTCTTCCTGAGTGAACTAACGGTGCTTTCTGGCATGGATGTCTGAAAAACAGCATAGGCTGCACCAAATGTCAGATTTTTTGAAAGGTAAAACAGTTCACATTTACGTATGCATTTCAGCTATGTAAGGCTAAGTTGCCTGCCTGGAGTCCAGCATTAATTTAAAAAAAACTTTTAAATATCCTATTTATTGTATGCTTCTTATTTGTTCAATCCAATGTCCCACATTGGATGGAGCATGTAAACTAAAATGCTGCCAAATAAAAAGCTTACTTTTTCCAAACAGTAATAAAATGAATGCTATTAATTATCTACAAAAAAAACACTAACAGTCCTCTCAACAAAGTACTTAAAATTCTTTCCGGTAAACTGGTAACAGAAACATAATATTTACAGACTTAGAAGTCTAAAAATAATAAAAAAAAGAGTATGCTTGTACCAGAAATCTGTATTAATTTGGGCAAAAAAATGTTATTTTCAAGAAAAAAGGCTTTGTAGGTTTAAAAATAGCATGAAGGGGCCAGTTTCTATGTGTGTGGTCTATACTGTGAAAACAGAAGCTGAGCGAATTAAAATGCCACTAACAAAGTTCTTTCACCTCGTCTTTTGTCTGTATGTGATGTACTTGTTATTTTACCTTCCATTTCTGAAATAGTAAGCATTCTTACTCATGAACAGCACTGGGCTCCCATGGATTTCTTCCATATCCTCATATAACAGCTCATGTGTGCTTTTGGATTTGATATTTAAAGCTTTATTAGGTTGAAAATGTTGGTACCCAGTTTTATTTATTTATTTCTGTTCATATAGTTCTGTATTGATAAGTGAATACTCATAATGATCAATTATTAATTGTTTCCTGACCTCCCTATAGCAGAACTACTGCTACAGAGCTGCGCAAAATCACGTATATATACATAACTTTGTATTTCTGGGTAGGGGGCACACGTGCACGCAGCCCTGCCCGCGCCACCATTGCCGGATTCAGCTGTCGATCACCGGGCCGGAGATTCCCCGCCTGCAACTGGCAATCACCGAGAAACACTGACAGAGGAGAGGTCTGTATGTAAACAATACAGATCTCTCCCCTGTCAGCACCAGAATGATGCTTTGTATTGCTCTGCAAAAAACACACAACACATAATGTGAAACACATACCGCACACAGTTAACCCTTTGATCGCCCCAGATGTTAACCCCTTCCTGCCCAGTGTCATCAGTACATTGTCAGTGCTTTTTATTAGCACTGATCACTGTATTAGTGCCACTGGGGATGTCAGTGACACCAAGCCAAGTGAGTTCCCCCCAGTGTCAGTATGCCCGCCGCATTCCCGCAATAAGTTGCTAATCGCCGCCATTTCTAGTTTAAAACAAAACAAAAAAAAAAAAAAGATACTAGTATAAAAACAAAACAAAAAAATTCCAGTATATATACCGCTATTTGTAGATGCTATAACTTTCACGTAAACCAATTAATTTACATGTATTGGGATTTTTTTTTTAGCAAAGACATGTCGCATAACACATTTTGGCCTAAATTGATGACGAAATTTGATTTTTAAAATTTTTTTTACTGGATATGTTTTATAGCAATAAGTTAAAAATATTGTGGTTTTTTTTTTTCAAGATTGTTCGCCTTTTTTTGTTTACAGTGCAAAAAATAGAAAATGCAGGGGCAATCAAATACCATTTTTGGGAAAAAAAAGGATGTAAATGTCATTTGGGTACAGCATTGCATGACCGCGCAATTGTCAGTAAAAGTAATGCAGCACTGTATCGCAAAAAATGGTCTGGTCAGAAAGGGGGGTAAATCATCTGGAGGGCAAGCGGTTAAACTGCATGCCAAGCCAAAAACATTTTATCTGTTTTGAATGTAGTAGGGAAGAATTAGAACCCTGCCTGTTTTTTACTGCTATCCAGGGGATCATTAGGGAGATTTTTCCTAGCTTCCTTTGATACTGACAACATTTTACCAGACAGGAAGTGAGGAAAACTATTCAAGAGCAACACAGAAAAAAATAAAAGTACCTTTTTTTAGTAGAACCAGGAAAGGCTAGAACCCCCGTCATATTTTTTTTATGTGAGCATCCATATTGCAGATTTTTTGTCACTTCCTGTTTGATAAGCAAGACAGGAAGTGAAGAGAATGCTCTTTAATGGAGCCTTAGCATTAAAAATCTTCATCACTCAAGTAGAAATAGTTTTTGTTTTTCGACGTGCACTTTAATGGTTTCCCACACATAAAATTGTCATGAGAGACCCATGCAAAAAAAAAAAAAACCTGCCGAAACCTCCACTTCCTGCTTAACATTTTACAATGTTGCTTCACGTGTGTGTCATAGACCAGTTTTGGTGATTCCACACAGTCATAAGTTGTCTTCATTAAAGAAATTAAAATAATAAATTAAAGTGAAGTATGTTTTGTCCATGCTGGGAAAAGTAACAGGTGCAATTCACTCTGGGAAAATAAGGCATGGGTACTTACTTTTTTTTTCTCTTTCTGCTGTGGTCACTGCTGTCCATCCTGACACTGTGGGCTGTGCATATTGCACTTACAGCTCAGCGATTGGATCTAACAATTGGCTGCTTAACCACTTCAGGTCTGGACACTTTCACCCCCTTCCTATCCAGGCCAATTTTTAGCTTTCAGCGCTATCACACTTTGAATGACAATTGCGCAGTCATGCAACACTGTACCCATATGAATTTTTTAGCATTTTTTTGAGACAGATAAAAATTTATTTTGGTGGTATTTATTCACCACTGGGATTTTTATTTTTTTGCTATATACGTAAATGAAAAAGTCCAAATATTTTGAAAAAAAGTGTTTTTCTTATACAATTTTGCTAATAACTGATCTTTCTTCATAAATCTTGGCCAAAATGTAATCAGCTATCTTTTAAGTAAAAAAAAATAGCCCAAATTAGTTTATAACCATAAATTATAATTTTTCAAAAAAGTTTTTTACATTTTTATTTTATTTTTTTATATTATTATTTATGTTTTTTTTTTTTACCTACTGCCACCCTAGCAGTACAGTGTCACCATAGTGACACTGTACTACTTGTGGGGGGTGATGAAGATTTTTTTTTTTTTACACTGATTTCTTTTACACCCATAAAGGCTGTAAAAGCAATAATTTCTCCTTCTCTCTGGCTGCATTTTTGCAGCCATTGAGAAATAGTGTGAGAGCTGTGATTGGTCACAGCTTGTCACATGGTACAAGGCTGTTGTGAATAGCCTTGTACCATGTAACATCTGTGATCATTCACAGATTTCACACGTAGTAAGCAATGATGACATCTTGTTTACTACTATTTATGTGATCGCTGATTGGCCAATCAGTGATCACATAATCAGGACCTCACACAGAGGTCCCATACAGCGATCGGTGTTCCGCTGTGTCTTCCGGACACAGTGGGCACCGGATCGCGGTGCCGCGCGCTCCCAGGGAGCGCGCACAGGCAGGGAAGCGGGAAGACCTGCTTCTGCACTGCTCCTGTCCAGCTGTTTATGTACGTGGGCTGGACGGGAAGTGTTTAAGAATCAAACTCTGCATTGTGGGAATGCAGAAGTGTCACATGTTCCCCCAAACCTGGATGTACTATATATTTCCCAGGTGGGCCTGGGCAGAGTGGAGCAGTGAGCATGTGCCCCATGTTCCTTACATTAAACGGAACCTGGTACTTTGTTCTGTATGGTTTACTGTAACCACTTGCCTACAGGGCACTTTTACCCCCTTCCTGCCCAGGCCAATATTCAGCTTTCAGTGCTGTCGCACTTTGAATGACAATTGTGCAATCATGCAACACTGTACCCATATGAAATTTTTATCATTTTTTTCACACAAATAGAGCTTTCTTTTGGTGGTATTTAGTCACCACTGAGTGTTTTATTTTTTGCACTGTAAATGAAAATTCTAAAATTTTGTAAACATGTGATTTCTCTCCTTCACTGATGTGCATTGATGAGGCTGCACTGATGGGCACAGATAGGCAGCACCAATGGGCACTGATGAGGTGGCACTGATAGGTAGCATTGATGAGCGGTGCTGATGAGGCAGCACTGGTGGGAATTGATGAGAAGGCACTGATGATGCACTGATATGCAGCACTGATGGGCACTGATAGGCAGGACTGATGGGCACTAATAGGTGGCACTGACTGGCGGCACTGAGTGATAGCACCGACTGGAGGCACTGACAGATGGCACTGACCAGCGGCACTTCTGGGCACTGACTGACGGCACTGCTGGGCACCACTGATGGGCAGCACTGCTGGGCACTGATGGGTGACAGTGCTGGGTGGCATTGCTGGGCTCTGCTGGGTGGCACTGATAATCAGGGCACTGATCATCAGTGCCCTGATTATTAGTGCAGAGCTGCCCTGTCACATTTGCTGGTTATCTGCAGTACTTTCCTCATGCTGTCACAGCGTGAGGAAAGTGCAGCCGATAACTACCAACTGTATTTACATTGCGATCTGCTGAGTCATTGGACACAGCTGATCACGTGGGAAAAGGGCACTGTGATTGGCCTTTTCCCTCATCACCGACAGTGCCAGGTGCACACAGGGTAAGCGTTCTGGGAGGACGTCCTCCCAGAACTGGACAACCGCGCTGTAGCCATCTCTCGGATATAGTGCAGTTGGGAAGTGGTTAAAGAAAAGGTGTACATTGTTTCCTGTGTAGAACAATACTTTTTTGTAAAATCAAAATATTAGGTTAATTATACTTATTAGATAAAAGGACAGATACTGGAATCAGCACTACGGCCTTACAGTCACTTGAATTTCTTAGGGTGCAGTTTTTCTGTACGTGACATATGGGTACACAAATCCTAGTATCTCAGGAGGCTGCACAGCAATATTAAAGAATATGTAAACCCAACATTTCATATTTGTGATACGTGCCTGCTGTACCATGTACTTGTATGAAAAAGTATCCAGTCCCTCTTCTATTAAAAACTGACCACACTAGGCATAAGAGCACAGCATGGTCAGTTTGCTGGCTGTGCTGGGAGCTAATCCAATGATCAGACTTGTGCTGGTGCATCCCCCCTTTCTTCCACACAGTCATTCACTGTGAAGACCAGTGTGCTGCTGCTTATCCTCCCCCAGCTCTCTGCTCTTCCTATACAGCTGAGAACATAGGGAATGTGATCACTTATAAAAAAGGGAAAAAAAGTATTTATAATGGGTTTTTTTTTATATGTATATACAAATGTTTTGCCTTTCATTTCTATTTTAAAATGAAGGGATTGATTTTTTAAGGTTGGTGTTCACATATGCATTAGGTCAGTGCTCTCCAAACTGCAGCCCTTTGCTATCCTTTATCCAGCCCTTGGGGCACTATTCATTCCACTGATTTGAAGCACTTTTTCAAACACTGACACCAACAGTGAGGCATAGTTCCCCCAACTGACAGCAACAATGGAGCTCTATTCCTCCCATTAATAGCATTGAAAGGGCACTATTTTATCCACTCACACAAATGATAAGGCACTATTCCTCCCATTGATACCAATGATGGGGCACTATTCCTCCCATTGATACCAGTATTCTTTCCACTGACACCAATGATCAGGCACTATTCCTCCCACTGATAGCAATGATGGGGCACTCTTCCTCTCAGTTATACCAATGACAGGGTAATATTCCTCCTCCTACTAACTACAGGTACTATGCAATTGAACACCATGAAGCATTGGGACATTTTATACCCTCACTGGCCACAATCCAGCTCCCCAAAAGTCTGAAGGACAGTAAACTGGCCCTTTGGAAAGTTTAGAGGAGTTATAGCTTGTTTGCAACCACTCCTCCTTTTACAGTGATGAGCAGACACATCCCAAGGGCAAAAGGCAGCCATGGCAAAACCCTTAACCAACCAATTGCAACCCAATTGTACCACAAACCAAAAATGCTTTATGATTCATTTTTAATATTCAGAACAAACTCCTCCACCCATGCATGTCTCTATGCTTTATTTTGCTGAGAAATTATTTTGAAAAACACCTCCTGGCATTTCTGGCAGAGGCCATCTGGAGTTAGGGCAGATGATTCATATAGCAGTTACTTCCTGGAATCCATCTGTCCTTAGCTTAGGCATTGGCTGAGCTGAGAACCCTCTCTTCCCTCCTGAAGACTCCTGGGATGTATGACATAATTTGCCTAGAAAACCAAGAAGTAAATGAAGGAATGCAAAAAAAAAGGTTAAAACAACTAAATATGATATACTTTCCTATCTATTTACTAATGCTAGCAGCATAAGGATTAGAAATCGTCCATGTTGATTGAGAGAGTGAAGTTCCACTTTAATGCTGAAAACATAGCACAAAAAATCTAATAAGCTCGAAAGAGCAGGGCCCTCGAACCCCTCGTGTATCACATTGTATTGGTATTGTTCTGTCACATGTTCTGTCCCCCTTTGTAATGTACAGCGCTGAGCGAACTATTGGCGCTTTATAAATACTGTATAATAATAATAATAAGAGAATAACACACTAATACCCTTTTACTAATTATTCAAAATTTATTGAACAGTGATTCATAATTTAATTTTCACTTATTTAGATGCCAGAAGCTATTAATGACAACAGAGGCCATAAAAGTATTTGGTTAAGTGAACCCGTTCTTGGAGACAAGCATTACATTTCACATATAACTGCACAGAGAAGGCAATTGCTTTCTCACTTTATTGCATTTGCTTCTTGATGTGCACTGTTGATATGGCATATTATCATATTATTGTTTATGTTGCTTCTGTTCCTAGGAAGAATTTGATAGTCTACCTATGTCAAACAATTAGTTAATTAAAATTCTTGCCAGGTTAAAAAATAAATCAATTTTCTCTCCAGTCACTGAGTTATCTAAAATAAGCAAGACATCAGGCACTGATAGGTTCAAAGTTTGTTTGCTACATTGGCACTGTGTGACACATTCCCTTGTGTGAATGAAAATTGATTCAGAGGAGACAGGCAGTGTAAACATGTTTTCTACAGTGTCTGCAAGCACATATTTCAAGTTTTACTTGTGGTAGCCCTATTAAATTATCACAGGTGCTGTTGTTATTATTATTATTATTATTATTATTAATTAATAATAATAATAATATCTTTACAATATACAATATAATTACAAAACCACAGATAAAATAAAACAATATCATAATCTATAGAAAAACATTACAACATCAAAATCATATTTGTACATTCACATCAGGCCCTGCCCTTAAGGAACTTGCAATCTAAAGTTTACATCTCACATGCTTACATATACATACTGGGGCCAATTAACCTACCAGCATGTCTTTAGAGTATGTGGGGGGAAGAAACTGAAGTAGATCCACACAAGCACAGAGAGACTATGCAAACTTCATGCTTACTGGGGAACTGTGTACTTCCTTCTCTGCCCCCATCCGAGGGCATCCTATATCTGACAATATGGATATTATGTAGGGTAAAATATTAGTGCATATGTTTGATGACCAATGTAATAGGAATTCATTTACATACCAATGAATTCCAATTTAAACATATATATATGGGCCATCGCACACTCATGTATGGGTACTGGCCCGGGTGAAAGCCGAGAAAAAAGGACGTAGAATATGCAGCAGGTAGTAGGTGCATGCAATGAGAGTTACAGCAGGAGGAATTTTACAATGTATTTTAATCAATGTCAATGTTTCGGCGGGCACGGCCCGTCTTTCTCAAGGCTTAATTACCAGATACAGGTGAAACTCGAAAAATTAGAATATCGTGCAAAAGTTAATTTATTTCAGTAATGCAACTTAAAAGGTGAAACTAATATATGAGATAGACTCATTACATGCAACGCAAGATAGTTCAAGCCGTGATTTGTCATAATTGTGATGATTATGGCTTACAGCTCATGAAAACCCCAAATCCACAATCTCAGAAAATTTGAAATATTATATGCAATCCATAAAACAAGGATTGTACATAGAACATAATCGGACCTCTGAAAAGTATAAGCATGCATATGTACTCAGTACTTGGTTTGCGCCCCTTTTGCAGAAATTACTGCCTCAATGCGGCGTGGCGTGGAAGCTATCAGCCTGTGGCACTGCTGAGGTGTTATGGAAGACCAGGATGCTTCAATAGCGGCCTTCAGCTCTTCTGCATTGTTCGGTCTCATGTCTCTCATCTTTCTCTTGGCAATACCCCATAGATTCTCTATGGGGTTCAGGTCAGGCGAGTTTGCTGGCCAATCAAGCACAGTAATCCCACGGTCATTGAACCAGGTTTTGGTGCTTTTGGCAGTGTGGGCAGGTGCCAAGTCCTGCTGGAAAATGAAGTCAGCATCCCCATAAAGCTCGTCTGTGGATGGAAGCATGAAGTGCTCCAAAATCTCCTGGTAGACAGCTGTGTTGACCCTGGAGTTAATGAAGCACAGAGGACCAACACAAGCAGATGACATGACTCCCCAAATCAACACAGACTGTGGAAACTTCACACTGGACTTCAAGCATCTTGCAGTGTGTGCCTCTCCATTCTTCCTCCATACTCTGGGTCCTTGGTTT